TGGGTTGTCCTAATATATATTTATAGATTTATTTATTCATTTATTTATTCATTTATTTATTTATTGTGTTTTGAGGAAAGATGTGTAGGTAGGGCAGCTGACCTGGGACCAGAAAGTCGTAGGTTCAAGTCCCCATGGCGTGGTGTACTTGAGCAGCACACCCAATCCCTAATTGCTCCCCAGGCAGCTTACACAGCTGCACAGTGCTGTACCTGGCTGGATCTCACGTGTGAGGAGATAAATGCAGATTTCTTCATTGTATATAATGAAGTAATGTAATAGACATATAGCACTTTGTAACTTCACTGTAATATTCGTAGCAGAGCAGGTGTATTGAGTCATTTGAAGTTGAAGAATCTCACAGTTTCTGACCTGATATCATTAATTGGCCTACTGTAAATCTTCTCATCACATGGGAGCCAAGCTGCTGCCAGGGCGCTTCTTTAATCCTCCTGCCCGCCTCCATGAGCCTGTGAGGAGCACGAGCACCGTCCCGGCCTCCTCTTATCTGCCGCCGCTCTTGCGGGTGTTGTGCGGGTCAGAGGCGTGTCTCTGAGCCGGGATAAAAGTGAGAGCAGCTGCAGCTCTCTGCTCTCTCTCTGGGCAGCAGCGGACTCAGCGACCATGGCCAAGTTCCCCCCGGAGCAAGTGGTGTTCAACAAGCCCAAGGTACGTCGGTTCCGCCCGGTACGCGCACGGTACGCGCACGGTAACGCGCGGATCACTGAGAGAAGGGACAGTTGCAGGACTCGTGACGTCATCGTGTTTTACCTGCGGTTTGTACAGTGAGTACAAACCGGAGAACAGCAGCTGGAACATTCAGAACAGGAAGAAACATGATGCATGAATCAAGAGGAAAGTGCTTCCTCGTTGTCGCCGCCTTCAAACAAGGAAGAAGATTTCTGCTTTAAGTTTCGTTATCTTCCTTTGAAAAACAAACTAAAGGATGACAGCTCCGTGAAGGAGACTTTAGAAAATGTTCTCTTTTACAAGTTTGGACTTTCCCTTTGTGTTTTGATGATGGACATCCCTTGATTAGAGTGGCTGCAGCTCCTCTTATGGCTCAGTGTCCTGTCATGTCCTGCCAGGTAGCTCACACCCTTTGAGTCAGACTCAGTGTACCTGCTCTGCCCAGAACATGACAGCTGATAAGAAAACAGAAAATGCCTGAGTCACACTGAAGGACAGGCACGTGGAAAGGCAGGGCTATGAAGACCTTGGAGCTGCTCATTACATATTAATATGCCTTTGGACCAGTGATACAGCCATGGGGTCACTGTGTACTGCAGCTGAGTGCTTCAACACCAAACTTCTGATGTGGACTTTGCTTCACAGCACGTGTCAAAGTGAAGGCCCACGGGCCAGATCTGGCCATCGTTACCACTCTATACGGCCTATATGAATTAAACATTTTAATGTAATAAAAAATGGACATCAGCGACAGATCACATTTTTATTGCTACAATTAAAAAAGTA